AGCAAAAAACTAGGACTATAGCTATATTAGGATTTTACTCCTTAAAAAACATCAGTGAAACAATTTCAGAATAGAAAATATGCATGGAAAAATAGACTTTATTTTCTTTTCAGAATGTTTCAAAATGGCTCCCTGTAGTTCTATAATGGTACTTTCGAAAATCCGAGGCATTGATCGTATTAGAGCGTAAGAGCATTTGCATGAAATACGTTTTGTTGTTTTCCCCACAGGCATTACCTTTATTAAGGGGTGACAATTTGATGAGGTGTTCCTTGAAGATGTCCTTTAATATGTAGGTAATAATGGATTAATTTTAAATCCATATGTTTCTTTAAAAAATATAATATTCATAATTACTTTATAACAAATACAGGCTAATATTTTAAACAGAAATCCAACCACATGTGACAGTGGATTTAATTAACCGTAATAATTCAAGTTTGTGATAAATTTCGACGGTTAAAGTTGTAAAATGATATAAATACGTCCACGTATTCAGCAAATGGTAAAAAAAAACTCAAAGGGATTTGATATTTTCAAGATATGTTACCGGAAACTGGGTCATTAGTTGGCTGCAGTAAATTTCATGATTTGGTGGTCTCGAGGATTTTTAAATTAATGAATCACAAACATTCGTTTGAATTTATTTCTCATATGACAGCTGTCAGAATAATTTATTTATAATTAAAACACCTTCATATCTATCACAGATATTTAAATATTGATGAATTACAACATAATAATAAAAGTGATGCTTTTTTTCATGATCCTAAAAAGCTTTGCAGTAATATTTGTTTTTGTAAAGATCATGACATACAAAATTTTACATATTTTTTTTACATAAACAACTCCACCTACAATACATACCTTTATAATTTTTTACCCTACATTTGTTCAGTATTCAAATTTAAAAAAATTATTTGCTTTACGTAATATATCACGATCAACCCAAAATGGTATAAATAAAATTTATTTATTACCGAGCCAAATTGTAGCAAGAAAGAAACTGCTTACACAAAATAAGAGCGAATATGTACGGTTATAACTTCATAACAAAGTAAGTTATGTAACTAACTAGATTCCTGTTACAATCGGCGAGGGGTTAACATTTTTGATTAAATTTTCACATCCCTAGCCTTAAGGGCCAGTGATTTCAAATTACAGCATATCCTAAATATTTAATTAGTAAACTTTGATAACAATCTAAGAAATCAATATAGTTTTAAATAGTTCATATATTATATCATTCATAGACTGTTTTGAAAAAATCTACTCATATTCTAACAAATCTTATATAGCTGAATCTGGGATAATATTTGAAATAATATATGTACATACATAAAGAACACAAAAATAAACATCTTGTAGTAGAACAAAAATCTGTTTCAGTTTTTAAAATGTCATGTATGCATTAAAATATTTACTCGCTATTTTGAGAACATGATTATTAAAAAGATTAAAGTTATTTATATTTATATCAAAAGGAGGAGAGTATTGCATAGTAATCCATAATAGTCGGAACTAATAGGTAAATCAGACATTTCTCAACGCCTAACAAAACGATTTGCACTCCCTAGAGAGATCTGCCGCCTATAATTCAACCAACTATCTTCGTGGAGCCTTCTAGAAAGCGATATATCAAGTTTGATAGTCAATTATTGGCCCTCGGTCCTAGAAACTGCTGTCTATGGGTTATCTCTAACATACAACCTTCTTGATATATTCTAATATGCTATTCATGAATAAACCTGTATGTGAATATTTATGGTATGGTTTATTATACATTCAAATATAAGAAAGATAATTCTATTGCCAAAATTAGGTGTTTCGAAAAAACAAATTTTAATTAACACGGATGAATTTTTTTTTCAATATATTTTTTAAAGTAGCTACAACTCGCTTCAGTTAGCATAAACACGGTTATTACTGCCTAGTCCTAAGTATAAAAGCTACATAATATATTACTCATAACTACGAGTGTACATTTCTATAATATTTATTTATTCGTTTATTAAGGTCGGAAGAGTAGTTTTCACATGAAAATATAGTTTTAAAGCGTATGCTCGTAATATTTCCAGTATTATTTGAATTTTATTCCGCTATATATTATACCTGTCTGTCTCGTATAGTCAACATTATTGAAAATAAACTGTTAGAGGAGTCATTTTACGAAAATGATTAACTATAAGTAAATGCAGCATATGAATAAGGAATTAATAATAAGTGCAAATTATTACAATGGAAAAAAAATCCATTAATTCAATTACATTTAAGATTATGGATTATTTGTATATGTATATACTGGTATAATAAAATTTTATTAAATGTACTATTAATGTTCTTTACACATTGAATGAGCCTGGAATGAATTCGAAGGACACTAATTCTTCCTTCTTTTAATAGAATTGTATACAAATAGATGCATTTGAATGATTATCTATTACGACCAAATATTTTTCAAGAGCATCGGCGCGTGTGATTAAGGGATGGGACATTATGTGCCTCGCTTTTGTCCCCGGCTGTCCTTGTTATGCGGTCTGTGGTTGGTATTCGTTTATGAAAGCTATATAATCACCTCTATTCCATTGTGATAAGATTGAGTATCACATAGCGTTCTATAATTATTGTATTGAGTTACGCAAAACCCAATACCGTTGCCTAGAAAGCTGATCTTGTTCAGTGACATCTCCAGAAGTAAGTACGTAAAGGATTATCAAATGACAATATGCATTTTTTATATGCGTATTCATTGGAATCCGAAGCTTTGAGAATAGGATGCTATTAAATTGCGCATAGCTCCTTTGTCATACCATATGGCATTTTCCAGCAGATGGTTCTTTTGTGACAGAATTAAGTAAACTAATAAAGTGTCTTTTATTTACAAGTAGTCTTCTAAATATTTTCCGTTTCTATTTGTCAACGTGCTTAGTCATGTGTGTATTTTAACAATTCAATGGTTATTACGAGCTTATAATATCTGAGTTACTTCTGTTGTGATTTATAAGACATGTTAAATCATTTTGTATGATGTATAATGTCGTCTTAAGTAGTTTCGGCTGGCTTTGAACCACTATGTCTTACTTTTCGTTTATTTTTTACCAAAATGTCATAAATATAATCGATAAATGCAAAATAATGACGAATTAAATTTTATAAATATAATAATATAAATCTAAAGTTATGCGTTCGTTCATACGGTATGAATCATATCGCAAAACTACTGGGTGTATTTTAATGAAATTTTATGAGTTTAATTTTTTAGATATATGGCCAGAGTCTCAAAATAAAGTCCTTAGATTTTAAGAAACGAAGATTTCTATAAGCACTATGTGTTTAGAGATGACTGAGTTATTGGACAAAGGGAAATATGTATTTGTGAATATATAGAACAACGCGGACGAGGATCGCAATAATACAAAAATGTGCAAATTGATTCCCTCTCATCCCTTTTTGTTTTTTAGAAATTTCTAAATAGATCAGTTAAAATTTGTTTCATATAAAAAAAACATATATTGGTATGTAATGTGTTATAAATTTCTTCTATTTATGTTTTAAATTTTAAAATAGAAGTCCGCATATATTATTGATACTAATAATTTGTGACAAAAACTCTAGCTGTCTTTTTGTCTATTTATGCATCTACGATTGCAGCGCTGAATTGATTTTAGTGTAACTTGGTATATAAACTCGGGGGAGCCTTTAGATTCAAGCAGGTGGAAGCTAGTTACTGGAAATGAGAGTTTTTAAATGAAATAATTTTCAAATTCTACAAAGAGTGTTCATTTTTAATTACTTATGTTTAAGCCGGAGTTACTAATGCCAAAAAATAAGGTAGGTACTTAAATGCTGTTTATAATTTAAAGAGTTTTACATATATAAATAGTTGATATCATTATATGGAGAGAGAATTTAACCTTTTAGTTTTCAAACTTTATTACTGTTTGCGGTTTTGTAACGTCTGTTTAAATGTACAAAGGTTTAAAACTAACTTATTCCCCATTTTGGCTAACCCAATAACATAATTAATGACACATTTGCTTAATGGCACACTTAAATAATTTCAGATTTTCCAACTCTCTTATAAAGTGAGGTACTTAGAATGATTTATTATCTTTATACAAGTTTTGAGAGATTTATAAACAGAAGAATCCAGAATTTAAGTATAAATAATTTAAATTAACCGCAGTGTATCTAATCTCCGGCGTATCTTCTCTAAGGGCATAAATACATACCTATCTGATAATATCATGCGACACATCCCATTCTCGCTATGGGCTCGTAAAAACAAGTTTTCCCATTATTTCTCTGCTGACCCGGCTGTCGTTTTGATATGGGTGTGATTTCAAAATAACTGATGCTGATTTCGTTTTGATTCATAGGCAACGAGATAATAATATGTATAAAGAACTTTCTTACTTTTCGTTGCACAATGTACTACAAATATTTAAGATGTATAATTATATTATTGTTGATTTGATATTGTTAAAATGTTAAGACATAGTATGGTATTTATAAGGTTTACTATGTATAACCATATTATTTTAACTGTTAATGTTTCATACGTTGTCAAAGTGATTCAATTAAATATACTTGTTAAGGCCTCATTGTATTGAAAGTTTTAGGTATATTTTTATGAGATATATGAAATTAATTGAGTTCTAGGTAATTTTAATAAAAAATAATTGTGATCAAATAATGTGTTGAAATAAAAAAAAGTAAAAACTTAAATAAAAGAAAGAAATAAAACAAAAGAAATAAAAATTTTAGTTTGTATATTTTATGTACTGTTTTCTTGATAATTATGATTTTTTAAATATTTACAAATATCTATATACAGAAAATCAAATTAAAATTATATACAGTCTTAAAACAATATTTATAAATATATTAACAAAATCTTATGTAAATGCAATAAATTTTTGTACATGATGTTTAAGTTTATAACTTTGGTATGATATAATTTAAGTGAACAATTTCATAAAGTATCTTTGAAGTAATCATCATCTAGCAATGTTATTTTACATTCTATGCATTTAAAATTACTATCGCAGAGAATAGGAATTAGAATCCATAAATTAAACCTAAATCTAGCGTTCTAATGTACAAAGAAATGCAAATTTATAGCTAAAATCTATGTTACAAAATAAATACAATGGAATAACTTAAAAAAATATTATCACTTTTGGACTATTTCGTTTAAGAGTCGCAGATGTAAATTTACCTGCGTTGAAGCATACGCTACGCCCACAGCTGAGCATGTGGAGGCATTCGGTGGGTATGATGATCACGGTGTACGCTGGTCGGCATGCCAAGCCTGTCAGCTAGCCCATCAGCCAGCAGAGGTGGCAGCTTGCCAGGAGGAGGAGGCGGGGTCGGCGCTGGCGCACGCCCGGCCCCCACAGGTGACACTGACGCGTAAATGTTCACAGTTGAACGATGATACTGACACTTCCGCAGATCAGGCATGGCGAACCTTAGTTTTTGCCAAAATTGTCTATCACCCCACTCAATACACGTGTTCGCTTTTAAACACAACCTTAATTCAGGATCCATGTCTCTATTCGGCAAGTCACCCAGTAATATTATTATCAGTCTTCTTCGTCTCTCTTTAAGAACTTCATGAAGTGCCGTTTTAAATTCAAATCGACACCATTCGTTGTTAATAAAATTTTTAGACAGCACTATTATAGTTCGCTTTGAAGATTCAACTGCTTCAATAATGGTGTCCGCTACGTAGGCTGATGCATTAAAATCGCGGTAATGAAGACAAAGCCGGAAACTTGGGTCCGTTGATTCTAGGCCGGGCGCTAACATTTGAGCAACAAATGCTTCGTCTTTCACGCTGTAACTAATGTAGGCGTCGAATAACCTATCTTTGTCGGCCTCGTCGTCGAAAGCGGTACTTTTATAGCACATTCGGAATCCGCAATGATAGTAAACCCACACTCTGAGTTCTCTTCTCCAATAAAATATTCCACAAATAAGAGCGGAACTCATCACGAATACAAACAGTGATATTAATAGTAATGGCAGATAGTCATTGATAACTTGGTTTTCTATGATTGATGAACTTCCACCTACGTGACTTGTACAGATAGTTGAGTTAAAATCAGACATTAATGGTCCAATAGCATTTGTTACATTGTCAAATATACATGTGATCTTATCTGAAGCTTCAACTTTGCCAAGATTATTTTTAAACCAATTTCGGAATTTATGCATGTACTGACAGTCGCAAGACCACGGGTTTCGTGAGAGACTTATCTCAACTAAATATGGATTCATCGTGAATTGCCAGACAGCAAAACTGTAAATGTTGTTACCTTCTAAACGAAGTACTTCTAAATGCCTTAACTCCATAAATGTTCGATTGTCGATATAATGTATTTTATTGTCTTGAAGATGTAACTCTCGTAAATTCTCAAGAGGCGACAATTCAAATCCTAACAACTCCTTTATGTTGTTCTTTTCTAAATGTAAAACGGTTAACCGTTTTAGTCCACTGAAAGTATTATTGTAAAGTGCGTCTATGTTAGAGTTATTTGCATATAATATTTTTAAATTTTTACGTCCGATAAAAGCGTGACTGGTTAAGCCTCCAAAATTATTTCCATCCAAATATAACTCAGTTGCATCCATAGGTATAGTGTTGGGAATTTCAGCATAGCCAGCACCGGAACAGTCCACAATATTCGCTGACCACGGTTGGTCGTGATAACACGTACAGTTCGACGGACACGTCATTTCACAATCACAAGCGTCAAAATCACAACAATGACACAAAGTAAAACAGTGAGTTTTATATGTACACAAAAACTGAGACGATTCCGCTTCAATAAGCGGAATATAAGTTCTTTCACGGTTATATAGTAGCTTACAGTATATACTTTCTAAGTCCATAACTCGAGGATGTTGTCTTAAATGATCTAATTTATTTATTCTTTGCAACCATTCCATCGTACAATCACATTGAAAAGGATTTCCTCCGATATAAAATTCTGGCAATGGTCTTCCAGGATCAACTGGCGTCAAACGAAGAGCATTAAGGTCCATACTAGTTATCTGATTTGCATACAAATCGACCCTCGTTAAATTGGTTTTTCCTACAAAAGTTTGGGCTTCAACTTGTGTAATTTGATTGTCATTTAAGAACAAGAGCTCGATACTACTGGGGATAGAATAAGTAAAGATTTTCGTCATTAAATTGAAACTGGCGTCTAGTGTTTGTAACCGTAGTTCTTTATCCAAACGGTAGTTATTTCTCAACTCTTTGATGTTATTACTGTGAACATCTAACCATTGAAGTCCAACTGGTATCACAGCGTAATCAAACCATTCTATTTGGTTACCTGACACGTTCAACCACAGAAGAGAGGGTATATTTACGAAAAGGCCTTGGATATCTTTGAGTTGGTTAGCATCTAATCTGACAGCTTGTAAATTTGATAATGTTTCAAAGGCATCCATATCAATGTGTTTTATTTTATTTCGCGCCAAATTTAAAATCTGTAGGGAAGGTAGATCTGTGAAAACTTCCTTGCTTATATTTTCAATTTTATTTCCTATAAGACGTAATCCATATACATTATGTAAACCTACAAAGCCAGGTTCTTCTAACGACATAATCTGATTCTCTCCTAGATCAAGGGTTCTTAATAAACGCATATTTTTAAGAGCTGTCGGCACTTTTTTCAACCGATTTCCATTTAAATTCAAATCTTGTAGAGAAGAAGTATTCCGAAAAGCTTCAGGGTGAAGTTCTTCCAGGTGGTTATTATCAATAGATAGTAAAGATAAAACGTACAATCCATTTAAAGCGTACGCATCAATCTGAGATATTTTATTATACGACAGTATTAAAGTGTGTAAATTATTCATTGGTGCAAATGTGTCTGCAGCAATTGATTCTAACATATTATGTTGTATATTTAGTATTTGAAGTGTGTAAAGATCTTTGAATATTTTCGGATCTAATTTAGTCAATCTATTATTAGATAAATTTAATAGTACCATCCTTATGAGACCAGTAAACGTGTTTTCATTTATCCAAGTGCTCGTTAAATGGTTGTTTGATAAGTCTAAGGCCAACAATTGATCTAAATTTGCAAAAAGACTTGGTGAAAGAACACTTATAGAATTGTTTTGTAAGTATATTTCTTTGATCACTGGTCTACAATCCCGAAATAAGTCTTGAGGTAATGCCACTATTTTATTATTGGAAAGATCAATTATTTGCAGTTGTTTCAAACCGGATAAAGCTTTGTCGGCGACCATAGATATCTCATTGTCGTGAATATGAAGTTCTTTAAGTCTTCGTAGAGCCATAAATCCATTTTCTGGCATGAGAACAAATTGGTTTACCGATGCATCTAATACTTCGATATCCAAAGAGCACGATGTATGTGGTAAAGTGGACGACGATGGTGAAGGGCCTTCATGTTCACTTATAAGAGCTTGATGCATAGCCCGTTCTCTAAAACCCAAATCACTTACATCTTGTAGTCTATTTGAAGACACGTTCAAGTAAACTAAGTTAGTCAAAGGGCAGAATAAGTTTTCCGGGAACGACCAGATATTATTATAGCTCAAGTCTAACTTTTCCAACTGTCTTACAGCTGTAAAACTTTCAGATGCGATTTCTAAACTCATAGCAGCCCACTCAGTGTTTTTAGTTCTAATGGTTAAATTGCGAAGGTCTCTTAGTCCCGACAGTACACCAGGCGGCCATCTTCCAATTTTACAATTGTCTAACACAAGTTCACGGAGTTTAATTAGATGTGCAAAACTACGTTCATCTAAGGAACTTTTGTACATCATTTCTTCGTTACACTCTATTCGTAACGAGGTTGTATGTTCTGATGGGATGACACTAAAATTTGTTGTATCAAATTCACTGTTTATCGTACGAAGTTTACACGTGAGTGAAACCTCGTGGGCCTCATTGGGTCCTTTCAGCCACCACTGACAGTCGTCCGGAGCTTCATATTTTAATGGCAGAGAGCTTTGATCGGTGACATAAGGTCCAATTATTAACCAAAACACAATCTGGCCGAAGATAGATTTTCTTGAACAGGTCTGAAGAGCCATTATATTACACAAAATATAATATCAAGGAAGTAGGAAAACAAAGCACTGTTGGCTCAGTGTCATGTTTTTTCCGTCGGCATTCGTGTGTTGCGTCCCCTTGCCGGATGTAAAGAATCCATCAATTTATAAATTAGTTAAGTTTTCTTGTTATTTTATCACTCAGTCCTCACATGTATAATAAACATAATAAAACTTATTTTTTGCGTCAATATAAGTTCTATTTTAACATAAACATTAACACACAAAACTGTCTTCACTTTTTATAAAGTCCCGTTTTCTAATAATAGAGGAATGTTTTATCATTAAACAATTATTTTTAGTTATTTGTTTGAAAAAATATGTTTTGTTTTTAAAACGCGTATTCTCAATCGTATTTTCACTATGACGTTCGTCCGAGTAGATCGTCAAGCGACGCGACCGTGCCTCAAGGCTGCGTGGAGTTGACTGAATGTGACTAGAGGCATTGCAGTCGCGTTGAATATACGCTCGACGGGAGGGAGCGGGGTGCAGGCTGAGATGAGCCGAGCAGTGGCGAATGTTCACGACTTATTACAATAAATTATATTTTTACGGAGCTTTTAGAGATCGGCTGCAAGTATCTATACACCTTGAATGAACGTTGACATCAGCTGTTTAAAAGATTTTGTTACAAAATATAGTTACTTCGTACTAAAAACGTTAGTTTCTAAAAGTTGCTACTACTTACTTTATTTTATATTTCTTAGTCATATTAGTTCATATTGATTTAACAACGTTTGAATTAAATATTTAATTTAGTTAACCTTTAAGAAAATTTTTATTAGAACGAAGTAAACATGAAGTTATAAATTAAATATAAGCAATAGTTATACATTATTTAAGAATTTGGTAAGAAGCAGTGTAACAATGTATTTTATAACATATTCATTTAATCACTAAGTTTATTGTAAAACTTTGTCACCTGACCGCAACAGTAAATACGGATATGGCGGTGACCTCGCAAAGTAACAAAACCTTAAAAGTGAAAAATTTTCAGATAATATCGCTCCCACGATGGTTCAAGCCACATAAATACACATTGTTTTTAACATAAAATATATTATATACGATATATCACGACATGCTATAATAAGGAACTTTAAGAATAATCTCAAATAAAACGTCAGTATACGATGTTTAAGAAGACGACTATCTGTTTTATTTCTTATAAAGATTTCTAATAACTTTTATAAAACATGCATTTTTTTTAAATGTATAAATTTCTAAGAATAAAACACCTATCTTAATTTAACCGTATTTCAAAGATACATGACAAAAGAGTTTCTTTATTATTAGAAGTTCTTTGGAACGGTTTTGAAAATTATAGTCATAAATAATGACATATAAATATAAAAAATATATATCTACAGTTCGAAGGATATAATAAGATGATAAAACTCATGCTTTATAGACCTTTTCATCTTAAAACGTAAAAACAAACATAAGTGACTGTAAATGCAGTTTCTTCTGACGCTGAATAAGTACTTATTAAGGCTTAATGATTTCACAAAATTAATTTTGTTTGCTTGTATATATCTCGAAAACAAAATAAGTTGATAATGCATTAAAAATGAATTAGGCTGCAACAGATATCTATTGTATAGTCAATTCCTGTTCTATACATGTATAAACAAAGTAGTTAGGTATAGCAACAAAATGATCATTAATAATAATTTGTAAAGTCTTAGTTTGTAGTGGTAATGTAATCACATCTAAAAAAAGTGTATTTGAAGTTGTATTTAGAAATGTGCAGAGCAATTCAAATACCTAAATTGATAAAATTATTTCTATAATAGTGTAAAAGTATACATTTCCTTCGAAATAAACTTCTTAATATTCAAGTTCAAGCTCTAGTCATATTTTACTTAAATTTTTTTATAGACATAAAAATGATAAAATCCGATTATATACAGACGGCGTTCTACAAAAAGTTCCAGAAAGATTTTGTCCAAAATATAATGAGATAAAACGACAAGTTATAAACCTATTTGCTTCCATTATAGGAACAGATATTTTTTTAAGACCAGGTGAGCAAATCCGTCAATGCACAAAAGATTTGTTCGAAGGAAAGTGAGATTAAAAATCAACCCTTTTATAATTCGAATGGCAAAATTAAAAACCAACTATGGTATAAAAGTATTAAGAGCTTAAGGTAACAAAGAGTTCCGTTCACGCTTCGCAGACCACACTGGCTGCTAGACGACGAAAGATATCATTTTAATCCTTTTAGTTAAGTTGACTATGAAAAGATAGACGTCTGAACGGCACCGGTGTTTTCTTTTAACCAGATGACATTTATGGTCGATGAAAGAAATTTTAAAACGTTATTGGAATTTGTAATTCTTGAGCTATGTGTCATAGTTAATAAGTAGTAACTAATAGAGGATGGTAATGCTCTACTATCCTCCTGACAGATTGTTTAAGTTTATAAAGTAATGAATAGCTTGTAGACGAAGAAGTTGCTTTTTTATTTCCAAGTATGAATAGATAGTTAGAAAATTTATAATCATGGCTATCAATAACCTAAACACATATTTGTAAAACAAAAAACATTATTAATTTTAATAAAGGAGACAAGAAACTACGATGACGTAATTACAGTTCTCATTTATACATATTTGAAAAACACATGTTGCCTTGTTGTTTCACAAAACGTACTTAAGAGCCGTTTTAAGCTGGGTCCACATGTTTGTCAATAATAAAAACTATGTCTTTGGTACTTTGATAAATTAAAAATAATACTCATATTAAAAGGAATTTAGTACAGTGATTTTTTTGAATTGAGATAAAATATTTAAAAATCCTTATATATACATATTTGTTATTTGTGATTCTCTCTGAATTCCCACTTATTTGATTTTTATTATCTTAGTAAGTTTTTTATTCGTAAGTTTAAAGTGAATAAGACTGTAATTGTTTATTTGTCTACGTATCTGACCGTATTATTGAGAAAATTAAATTAAAAATTTAACGCGCCATTGACATCCTCTTATTTTTAACCAGCAATCAATCTTAGATATAGTGTTGGTGTATTTTGTAAAACATTATTCAAAATGCGTGGGACGGAAAAATACAAGAGTTATTTGTTACTATCAATTTTTAATAGTTGTAAACAATCAATCAAATACCCGTGATTGTTGAAACATTTAAGATTATAACAGTTTATTTTTCAATCATTAGTAGTGCTTTTTTATGGTAAACACAGTTAGAATAATAAAAATAAAAACAATGTATAGAATAAAGTTTAAATAGAAAATATTAAATGAAAAATTCTACACCGCTCAAGAAATCTCTCCATATAACTTTAATATTAAAAATGTAACTATAGGATGAATAATTGTATATGCATTCAGCAATCTGAGTAAAATATGTGGATTAAGGAAACATGTCTATATAAATTGTTAACTCGCTCAATTCCCATAAAATTTATTAATGCCGGTTTTAACAACAAATTGATAAAAAAAAAAAATTTCTAAAGATTTTAAAGTCATAACTTTAAGAAATATAAACTTCCTTCAGGAAATAAATTTCTGCTACCTTCTTACTTTTTTATGAAAATGTGTTGACAGTCACGGTTAGCCTGAGGTATTGTTAGAATTGAGCAACAATAACCGTCGCCATAGATGGGTAAACATACCATTCGAAATAAAATTTCATTTTTCATATCTGACACCGTATAAAATCACAATATATGAACCTTGACAGAATGCGTGAATCACTAAATTAATATCCTTGAAATGCAATCAAACCAATTAATGATGCTTTTTTCTCAAGATTGCGTCTATTTTTATCTCCTTTGCTCTTTTACAAAACAGATAAATCTGTCCTACTTATAAACAGTCCATGTGACAGGGGTTGGTTCGCTATAATTCACGATGTGTCTCAAAGGCACCCACGCTCAGGTAGCAAACATTATCACTATTGGCGTTGTTATAATTTTAAAAAGGCTAATAAAATATCTCACGAAACATGAATGGAGACGAACTAGTATAGAAATTTTTACTATAGTTAATAAAATATATCGATCGATAGAATCAATATAAAAATAATATGTATATTAGTAACATTAAATAATTTTTAAATGATAACACTTTTATGGCACAAATATTTTTAATAATAAGAAATAATTTATTGCATTCTTTAAAGGCTAAACTATAATTATTTGGAAATTGTATTAAACCAACTAAAAAAAGAGATAACAAAATAATGACAATAATAATCGACAACTCCACTCCAACCCACTAAAAAACCTGGACGAAACTATGAAACATAAAAAATAAAATCGCTCAATGCCGCTGTAAATAAAAAACAAGGCACAAAAATAATCTCCAAAGATAAAACGCTTTGGTCGTATTCTTTTTTGCGATATGCCATCTTTTGTGCCAATTATGGGACTATTTTAAATTTTTTAGATCCTTTTGCGATGAAATTTTTCTAATTTTAAAAACGATATTCGTTGCTAGTGGCAATCGGTGATCGTAATATAGTTACGATTTTATCATAGAGATAACATAAATTAATGTCGTCCTCTAATTAAAGTATCTGGGTATATTATTTTTATCTAAGCATCATTAGTGACTTCATTCTGAGATATATGAAATCGAAATTTAAACTTATATAGAAAGAAAATATCCAAATAAGGGGTTTGTTTAAAATAATCATTAAAAAATTTATGAAGAGTATATTCCTTGTACTACCTTTATCCTTACATAAAGTCTATATTGCTATAATAAGCTGACTTTAAGATATGTTCTTTCACCGCATGAATCTGAACATCTTAGTGCGAGCAAATTACATCGAACACAGCAGGTTCTGCCTTATCGATATCCTAATATACCTATACCAAAAACTATTTTATATTACGTAAAAGTACGATAATAATATAAGAAAGTTATAGAGTATATTTGTTTCGTATTTAAGTGGACTATTCTGATCGAAAATTAGGAAATAGTCAGGAAATTATATTTCACAAGAAAAGGTTT